GGAAAAAGACATTTCTTTCTTTCTTTTTTTTTTTTTTGCTTGTCAGGTTTTTTTGGAGGTACAAAATTTTTTTTTTTTTACACGTAGCCCCCCCACTTTCAATTTGCTTCCGACGCCAATGTTATAATAGTAATAATATGTACATGTTTGCATATACTATCTTTCATGTTTCTACATGCCTGTAATACGTTTAATCAGTTGTACATTTCCTTTTCAAATATTCTTTATATATATCATTAAGGCTTTTAACGCAGATTCATCATATTGTTATACAGTGTGCAGTGCAATAAATACAACAGTGGACAACATTAAGTTTCCAGTTACTACCAATGAATTACGCCATGTAAAATCTGAGTTCTATGACATTGCCAAATTTCCAAATTGCGTTGGTGCAATCGATGGTACTCTAATACCAATTAAGGGCATGAGTGGTCCACAGGAGCCTGCTTTTGTATGCAGAAAAAACTTTCATGCCTTAAATATTCAGGCCGTAACAGATTCCAATATGAGGTATAAACGGTATTGATTAAAACATAAATACTAGCACTCATTTTTTTGTAATATAAATTATACCCTTGTATACGCCAAAACTTCAACAGGAGAAAATTAAAATATTTAATATATCGTCAAAAGGGTTTTATGAAATAACAACCTTTGAAAATGTAAATGTTGTCAATTTTAAAATAACTTATTGCACCAAATATAACCAAACAAATATAACAAATATAAGAATGCTAATTGTTTGCTTACATATGCATAAAGGATAAAAAAAAATTATTTGATATTATTTCAGATTTCTTCAAATCAATACCTGTTTTCCCGGGGCAACTCACGACTCTTTCGTTTTGAGCAACTCGGGATTGTCAGGTGTTATGGAACATCTCGAAGGGGGTGGGTGGTTACTTGGGGACCCTCTCAAGGAATGGCTCTTAACGCCATTCTCATCCCCAGCCAATCAACACGAAGTGAATTACAACGATGCCCATGGAAAGACTCGTGTTGTCATAGAAGAATCGTTTGGGGTATTAAAATCCAGATTTAGGTAATTTAAACGCAATTTTTCGTTAAATATCTTTATATGTCATATTTGCAAGCAAATATTTTATTTCAAACGTTCATTACGATAAACACGACCTTACATTTTTTATTTGAGAAAAAAATGTATATCTATTGCAACCATAAATAAACCTTTTTTACAATTTTATTGTGAATTCATTTAAAATTCTGTGGGCCAATTTTCTTAGATTGTGGGTTTTTTGGTTATTTGTGGAGATGTAATTTCGTGAATGGGTTTTCAGATTCAGTAACAAAGATATCTCTTTCTAAATTTTCTATGAAGATGTAAATTCGTGGTGGTTTGGGGGGGGGAGGGGGCTACCAACGAATATCACGAAAATTGAGCCACCACGAAATCTAATGATTCCACAGTATTTACATTGAAGTAAACTTTGCAGGTGTTTACATCGAACTGGAGGAGTACTCCCCTTTTCACCAAGTAGATGTTCTCAAATTATTCAATGCTGTATCCGCCTTCATAATTTAGCTGTTTCAGAGAAAGTCCCCTTACTTGAGGGTGGGGTTGTACAGAACATCAATGACAATGCCGTGTTTAACGCAAACGCACCAAGGAGAGCACAGGATGTGCGCATTCAAGTTGCAAATTTATTTTAACAATTCATCTATTCATTAAATCACACACTTACTTTGTAATAAAGAACATGACTACTTTATCATTTTGTGTTCAAATTTATTAAAAGCCAAATTTGTTTTCAAATGCCGCCGCTATTCTCTCTAGGGCATCTGCTTTTCTCTCCTCTGCGATGGCTCTTCTCTCCTTCACTCCTATCAAATTCAGCATAAACTCAGCGTCGGGGTCGCTGGCCGTGTCTTTATTTTTAATGAAAAGTTTTATAATCAGAACAATGTCAATTGAAACAGAAGAAAATCAAATAAAATCATATGTGTAAAATGAATAGTTAAAAGTGCATGAATGAAGTTGAAACAGTTCACTACGGTTTTTTTTCTTAACAAACGTAAAATTACGCGAAAATTAAAACTGAAGGAATGTTTAATACATTTTTCATTAATTTTCATAGCGTTGGCATTGTTTTTTTTTTACCTTTACGTTTAGATCCATACAGAGTTGAAGCAACGAATTTGTCGGTGGAAGGCCTGGGCACATGTACACTTGGAGCTTCTTCTGGAACGTCAACTTCTTCTACTATACACATGCGTACAAACATACAATTTTTAATTTGAAAAAAAAAATCAATATTTCAAATCTACACACTTATGTGTTCCGCGTGTGAAGAACATGCATATCAAATTTTTGACTATCTATTATAATAATTTTTATGAATAAAATTTTATAAGTATATTATATGATATGTATAATTATACAAACCAATCAAGGATGGAATTCCAGCGTAAATTTCCGATGGGACTGCAGTGCATGATGAGGCTGAGTTATCTGTTACAAAGAAATACTAGTATTTAGATATCATATATTTCTATTTTTTTATACTATAACTACTGTATACTACAATAACACTAAATATACAAAGCACGGAAAATCAAATACTATAGTAGTATATGAAGCAAAAGTCGGGAAGGCAACATTATGAGGTGTAGTGAACGTATGTTTACAATGTACTTGCATGTACCATTTATTTATACATACTTGTTTCAGAATTACTGGCAAAGGCAGTATCAACCCCTCCGTCAATCCCAGAGATAAGTTCATCCGGTATAATTGACAAAATATAGCAATAAAAACAAAAAAAAGTTGTTGCCTAATTTTCCAATTTTTCAAAATAATAAACGGTGCGAAACATTAATGAAAAAATAATTATGTCAGTATCGGAAACTCATCTTAGCAACGATCGAAAGGTTTTTTTAAATACATAGTACATAGTATTATATCAATTTTAGGTAAATATTAGAAAACACATACGTCAAGTTCCCATGCCTTGAATACAGATTCCGGGGGAGGCCCTCCGCCCGTTCTCTTCGTCTGGTATTTTCTACTGGCTTCTTTCTTCTTCACAATGGATCTTGCATCTTTCCATTTCTTTTTTTATTTCTTCTGTTTCCCTCTTGCACAAGGCAGAAGAAGAATTTATTCTGCAGTAAAATTTTAACACTTAATATATTTTTGAATCCCCAGTCTACCTTCATTTGTATATTTTTTGTTAAATTAAAAAAATATACAAAAATACACAAAACCTAAATAACATTCCTATTTTTGCCAATTTAGTTAGGTTTTTGATCATAAATATACATTATATGTAACATGTAGACATGAACAAATTGTATGTAATCAAATCGGAGATGATATTATATTTTTGTTGATCGTTATTTTAAAAACCTAAATGCTTACTGCTTTGTGATGTCTTCCCATACAGCTTTCTTTTTCTCGTTTGTCACTGAAGCCGACAGTTTTGCAAATAATACATCTTTGTTATCAATTACACAAGATGTTAGAATTTTCATTTCATCATCAGTCCAGTTTGGCTTACGTTTTTTACTCTCCGAAGACATTTTGATTGTGCAGAGTCAATAGCGAATATTGCAGACGACAATATCGATATTTACATGTTTGTTTGTTACGAAATTCACATTATTCAAGAAAACGCTACGGAAATCAACATGACAGATCAGAGAGAGAGAGAGAGAGAGAGAGAGAGAGAGAGAGAGAGAGAGAGAGAGAGGTTTCTTAAATTCTTTATTTCACTACAAAACACAGTTGCGAGTGTATTCCTTTCAACATAATTCAATCTACGATTTATTTTCAATCTAAATATGTTTCAAAGCTTTTAAGTTTTTATTATAGACCTCAAAACAAATATTGCAATAAATAATAAAGAAGAATATGCGATCTTTTCCATATATCTTTTCAATGAACAAATTTTTCTCTCTCTCTCTCCTCTCTCTCTTTATGATATGTATGCGCATGTGCATAAGCTCGTTGTCAAGGACGTAAGTCTGGCCTTAACTTAGTCCGATACTAGTATTTACGGCCAGGCGTACGCCTCTTAGTGAAACGCAACTTACGCCGGACTAAATTTTGGCGTACGCCCCGAGGCCTAACTGAAGTTTGGTCGTATCTTACGCCTTTTAGTGAAACGGGCTCCTGAGCTACAGTTTGATTTTAAGCGTCGGCCGAAATTTTAAACACACTTATTGTCCAACACGGACGACCGACTTAATAAACTGACCACCGATAGTCGGACGATGATCGAAGGTTGGTCGACGGATAACTTCAATTGAAGGAATCGGCCACCGACGCATAAAAAATTATAACTTGGACAAATTCATTAGATACAAAATTGGTCGTCCGACAAAAAAGAGGTCAAAATCGGGCAAGACAACGGCCGATGAACTGACGACTGTCACCCGAAGGATCCCATTTTTGCTTCAAAACCCGTCGGCCGTTGGTCGTTTTTGGAAATGTGACTGGGGTTTAAAAGTGCCAGAGTGAAAGGTTGTTACTGATTTCGGTAACATTTTTTGCAGTTAAGCGAGGGACAAGGTCAAGTGTTGTATTGAATTCAAAACTCGAAATTGTACTGAAAAAATTCTGAATGAATTTAGCAGTATGACTAAAGTTAAACTGTGAACTACTTTACAACGAAATTTTTGTCAATTTTCGCGTAATTACGCAAGATTGTGTACTCTTGAAAAAGTCATTGTCGAGTGTATTTGTGTTCCATAATATAATAGAGAATAAGGTAGCCAGTTATGACATAAATTTTTATTTAGTAGATTTTAAAATGAATAAAATAATTGGTTCAAATAAATTTTACAAATTTAGCATGATAACCAGTGTCAATCCTTTTTTATTTGTGTTATTCTAAAATTAATGAAAAGGTAAACATATATATAAGGAATAATACCCGTTCTACTACTGACTCTTGAGTGGAGCATATGTTCAAATGTTCTTGGAAAATGCGTTGTAAGAGGTACAATATTCCTCAAAACAAATAATATCAAGCTACCTTCACGAATGGGGCATCCAAAAATAAAATCACACAAAGACTCGTTACATCTGCATTCTTCTAAACAGGCCATTCCATAGGCAGGGAATACACACATGGTACTGCAGTTTTTCCCATGAAATCCACTTGGACAAGCTGTTACGATTTTTAGCTTGACAATTATATCATTTGGATAAATAGTATTAATAGATAGGGAAATCTGTAGTGCATTTATAGAAAAAAAACAGTGCATAGTTATTTTTGTAGTATGGCAACTTTGCAAAAAATAGATTAACTTATCAATTTTTCCGCTGCTTATGAAAACATTTGTATCCTGAAAAGAAGCCAAGTTTTTTTTTTCTAAGACTAAAAACATTTAATTTGCAACCTGTACAGGAGTTATTATACGTTCTGTAATATCCATCACAGCAATCAAGGCCATAGGAGAATCTGGTTGTAAGAAAAATAATGTTAGCAGAAAACTACAATGTAAACTATTCAATATTTCAAGAACTTACGTATTTAGAAATATCTGTATATTCACATCTCATGTACCTGCATTTAAAGTGACGTTGAGCAACGTTCCCGATGGAAAGGAATAACAAAACATTAAGAAAGCTCGTACAAACATAGCCAAGCATTTTTTTTTTATAAATAACAGCATACAAATGCTTCAAACTGTTGTGATGACTAGGTTTTCCCGATATACAGATCACATTTCCGCTTTCAGGAAATTCACATGTTAATTTAATATACAATTATTTGACATTGAATTACTCTGTAAGATTTAGAAAACATGTATTATCAACAAGGTTATGAGATTGAAAATAAAATATGCCATCACTAGACAACGTTCTTACTCTTCATTTACCAACACGATGTTATAATTCGAAAATTATAGAAACAGAAAATGTATTCATTTTAAATGATTACAGATATCTTTAATGCATAGGTCATCTCTATTATATTCAGTGTTAGGCGTTTGGATTTGTACTACAAAATTCATGAAATGGCAAATTATTTTTTGTCCGAAAAGACTAAATAAGCAGCATCGTTCATGGATACCATTACACATATATACTGTATTGAATAAAAAATTTTGAAACTTGACTAGGGATAAGAGAGAGTTTATTTTATCATATTATAAGTTATATTGTTCTTTTATTCCGGCTTAGGCCGACTAATATCGTGGAGTAATGCAGTGCATTGCCATTCATTCAAGATTTCTTTGGCATAAAATTACAATTACCATGACTCCAGTTCCTTACGGTATGCGTTACATTACCATTACTTTAGTGAAGCAATGCATTTACATTACCATTACTTCTTAGAGACATTTCTAAAAATATATCTAACAAAAGAATAGTAATGTGTTAATAATATAAATAAAATACAGAATTGTCTGCATTTTTGTTATATACCTGCTTAACACATCTACAAATACATGAATTATTAGTTACAATGTCAGTTAGTGACCTAATACAGATTCATACAGGGTGTGAAATGGAAATCCGTATTGGGCAAGGCGAAGCCGAGTCCCAATACAGATTTCCATTTCACACCCTGTATGAATCCGTACTACAGTGTAGGTCACTAACTGACTGTGTAACGAATTTATTCCGCTGAAGACTTTTTCAATATAAACAAATTTATTTGTGCATATTATGAAAATATTAAGTTTAAATCCAATAACAATCAACATGAAATATCGTTACGGTAACAAGAAATTTAACTAAACTACCTACGTAAACCGTTTCTTAGCCGCCATTTTTTTTTACAATAACAACGGTTTATACGGTCTCATCCGATCTCCACGTCCCACAGTGGGATTCGAACCCGCGACGTAAGGATTGACTGCTTACTTCGCGACTCTAGAGCAGACGCTCTTACCACTGCGCCACACGGACGACACGAGTCTTTATGTGATTTCATAGTGGGATGCCCCGTCGGTGAAGGTATTTTTGTAATGTATAAATGCTGTACATGTTTACTGCGTTTTACTTTTCTATAGCAAAGAATAATACAATCTATTTAATAGCTCATATACTTATATTCTTGGTTTTTTTTATATAAATACTTATATTCTTGGGGGGAGTTTTTATAAAGGATAACTACAATTGGTCTAAAAAAAAATAGTGACTACTTCTACCACTCAGCTATTTGTCATAAACTGTTTTTCGGAAATTATGAACATTGCGTTCATCCTCCCCTCTACCGAACTGGTGAAAATGGCATTTTTGCGTCGATTTATATACCTCTGATAACATAGTCTTCAAATACTTTTAAAGTTCACATGGTTTTTCGCACAAATTAAGGTCACATTTTTATAATATAAATTACTATTTTTGAACCTCAGAACGATGACATGGCCCTACGTTATATTACATGTACATATATAATGTCAAGTATAAATGTCCTTTAAAATTATTATCTTAAGTTTCCAAAGTGGATGTTTCAGAGGGGAATTTATCAATAAATGGTACAATTTTCTACTATAGGCCTCTACCATAGGTTATTTACAAATAATATAAAACGTGCTTTCTTTGATACAATGCAGTTGAAAATTTTCAAAATTTCTTCTTAAAGGTGAGTATTTTTTAAAATTCTTTGCTCATTTACCATACTCATCTGGGTTTTGTCGAAATGTAGTACCGAAAAGAGATAACATTGCAGAAAGAAACCATACTACAGGGTAGGATTATGAAGTATTGTTTTTATTTAATAGTATTTTTTTTTTCTATGAAAAGGAAAAGTCTTATGCTTTTACCGTTTGAAACGTTAAAATTTTGGTGTGGGGTGAATTTTTCATGATTCTAGATTTTCGAAGATGACTCTGAAAAATGCGAACCTTATTAATATACAAAGCAGTAAAACAGATGAAAAATACTATTATCACCCTGTGCTAAAGAGTCAGAATGTACAGAAAACACAAGTTACAGTAGCTGTACTGTGCCCGTATCTATGTTTCTGCAAAGAGCTACTGCTTTCAAAAGAACGGACAAAAAGTCAGCTGCAATTGGCAAGAAACTACAAAAAATCAAATGGAAATAGTTGTTATTTTTCAGCCAAGAATATATCAAAGTTCTAGCAATTGATTTGTATAAATTATGTTTTGGTAAATGAAATGAAACTCAAATAATGAAAACAAATACATTTAAAATGTATTTTGATATCTCAATACACAATATTACATTATAACAACGTGACCTTAATTTGTGCGAAAAACGATGTGAGATTAAAAAGTTTGTTGAGCTGTATCTTAGGAAATAAATGGAATTTGGTTTAAAGTACAAAATGAATATTTTTTTGTCAGGGAATTTCCCAACAAAGCAGTTTTCATAACTATCCTTTGAATATATTTTTCTTTCAAATGCCAGAACACAAATATTCATCCTATACATCTAATTATTTTCATTTTTTTTTCTTTTATTTCATTGTTTGGTTTTAACATAATACGAGGGTTGTCCCGTTAAATCGTAGACAAGTTGTCTAGTTTGAAAAATAATCATCACTGCGTTCTGAAAGTTTCACTACTTTTTAGTACTTATAAATATACATAGCAAGTTTCAAATAGATATATGCACAAATAAAAAAAATTGTGATATTTTATGTTATGTACTGTAGCGCCCTACGTCGCACGGATGATAACGTCGACGTGTCTAAAACGGCGTCACGCTCCATGTTTGCTAAAATAAAGTTGGATTAGCCCCACTTAAATTTAGAAATTTTATTGATTTACATACATGAGTGTTTATTACCAGTTAAGGAACCAATGTGGAACACTCATGCGATCTTCTGAATATTTATGATCAAGTTACGGACAGTATTCTCACCATCAGTCAACTAAATGAGAATCTCATATCGACGGTCGACAGTAACAGCGTCTTTTACTATTACAATGGCAGTCTGTCCGCATGTTTTGTACTATCTGGGGACTCAATCAAGAAGACTTCGCTAAGAAAACGTCCATTTTATTTGTATACTAAAATCTGGTAATATTTTTCATATTTTCGTTCTTCTGTATTCATTTAAAGTTCCTTACAGCGTTATTACATCATTACACCATTATTACATCAAAGCAAACTGCTCTCCGGTGCGCCGTAACGTCATCAATCGTCACCATTTTTCGTATATTGTGTATACAACTTTTCTATTTCGAATGCTCGGGAAACAGCTAAAATTTAACCAAATGCCTTGAAATTTTCAAAAAGACGATAGAATTGATTAAGGAATCGAATTAGGATAATTTTCATCCTTATCTTATGTATTGAAAACTTTTATTACGAATTACATTGTAATACTTGTATATTCTCTAATACAACCTTGTTATTTTTACCGTGCGCCGTAGGACCGTACCCTGTGCACCTTCAAGCAGAATAAAATCTTTATTTTTGTATATATATTTTCAAAAACATTATGATACACTTAAATATGACAAATAAATATTTACTGAAAATTTCAGCTTAGTGCGCCCATTACTTTTCGAGAAAAACGTTTTGTCCACGATTTTACGGGACAACCCTCGTATATAGATTTTCTTTGTGTTACATGTGGCCTACAAACATTGCAATGGATTTTTAGTACATCTAACAAACAATTTTTAGGAGTAGTGCAGATGATATAATGACATTTCCTCGATAGCATGATAAGGTCAAGGATGTATCCAGAAGAATCCAGAATATCTAGAGGTTTTACATTAATAAGATAATATTTATACGATATTATCTGTTGACCTTCACTCCTTTACTTCTCGGGTTGAAATACCTGAAATTGCAGATTGAGATGTATCACAAGTTGCTATTAGTATCATTGTATAAAAAGACTCTCTCCAAATCAAACAGAGATACATGTTACGTGTACGTGTCCACAGAAACATGTCATTCTCAATGGAAAGAGTCACAAAGAAAGTTACTCTTTATAGATTTACTCTTCAACTCTCTCTCTCCAAAAAAATATAGATACGTACAAATTAAAATTTTAAAAAAATCTTTAAATTATTAAATTAATTTTTGAAAAATTGTTCCTCAAAACAGTGTTACATTAATATTTGTAACAGTGTTTATATATTTTGATCAATTAAGAGACAACTTCCCAAAAATAGAAAAATAATAAATTCTAAGAATTAATAATATCAGCGAGATCCGTAGAGAGTAAAAATTTTGGTCTGTTGTCTTTACCGTTCTCAGACCAGTGCCACATTATCTCACTCAAAGTATCGTGTTCGTACTTCGATTGCTTATTAAATTTAAATTTCATTTAACCTGGAAAAAAAGGAAGTGTAGACATATTATGATTTCTGAACAAAAATAAAAATTTTATACATGTAAATTATGTTTTAAGTTCTCGTTGTTTCACCAACAGCTGTTTCGTAAAAGAATCTGAGTGGATTACACGAGTAAAATGCCTACTCTAGGGCAAGTAAAATATTGAATTTAAAAATTCTTACAAATTATACTTTTTGTTAAGTTTGAGGGTTATTTATAATCCTCTGCATACAGTTTCGATAAAACCTGAATCAAATGACTTTGACATTGATTGTAATTAACACATCAAAATGGTAACACGCTTTTGTAACCGTGAAAATGATAGAAATTAAATGTTAAAACTGTGTTTTTTATATTGAGTGGGTCTTCGTACCATTTTTTG